ATTCAGGATAAAAAATAGTATCTTAAGCTCAGCTGAAAGGGATGTTTACGATCCTTTCAATAAGCTTTGGATCAAGTGATTAGTGAGGCTTCAATACCACCACTATAATTCTAGCTTGTTTTTTCTTCTTCAGTATGTCTGATCCAGCTTGTAACCCAGCCCGGACCTGTTTAGTTTAGGGCATACAGCAAGGTCAAAAATCACATTAAAAGGATATGTACCAAATGAAAATAGTTTTCACAAAAAAACCCTAATGTGATGTAGAATTGACAGGGTGCAATCAGGCAGGGTGCCAACAAAAACTGCTTACATTTTAATTTTACGCAAATAACAAAATATAGAGGACTCGGGCAGACAGGATTACGTGATTTCGCATCAGATGGCAGGCAGAATTGCTTATGGTGATCTGCCATGAAGAGAAATGTGCTTGCTAAAAAACTGATCTTTAGGTTTCAGTGCTGAGTATCTTTCTGATGGAAAAAGATGCTCCCAGTGGATGAGTAAAATGTTGGCCTTACACAGAAGACATGATCTAAAATATTTGCTAGCCCTATAATATCTATTCTGCCACAGTTACCACATCTCATACTGAATATTTTAGCTGTTTATATAAAGGGAATATTGACAATTCAAAATGAAGTCTCTCAAAAATACCCCACCAACTAGCTGACACTTATCAAATTTTGGGTCCATGTTTAACTGAACCTTTACAAAAAGCTGATAAAGGGAAAGAAAATTCTACGCCATGTCCATAATATGACTGAGGAAATATGGCGCATTGTATGATGATCTGTATTTGTGAATATCTATTAAGTGTTGGTTTTTTTCCCACATAAGCATACACTGTTTATATCTGAAACGTCCATCTTGATGAAAAGGTGCTTTTACTTTCAAATTAGATGAGTTCAGCCCTGAAATTTGCATAGAAAAACATTTTCTAGACTTCTAGAGCTGTATATATGGCCACGGCTGTCTACTGGGTTTTCAGGTAAATGCTTGACCTCAGCAACTTTAAAAAATATTTGGGTTAAGCAGTTCAATTTACGTATTTACTTCATCTAAATATAATTTAAAACCTTTTATTAGACTTCTTTTCCAATGAAACCATATAAAATCCAGACAGATAAGCAGTTTGGGATAATATTTTCCCACCAGGATGAAGCACATATTTCATAGCCTTGTATACTTTGTGAAGTTAATTAAACCCTTTCATTGCTTTCATCAGAATAAATTGCTACAGATGGCTGTCTATATTTTGTGACTTACGTAACTTAAATAATTAGAATATATATGCACACATTTACTGTCTTTATGAATATTGGCTCTGTTTGGTACACCTATCGTCATGATTTAGTTGTTAATTTTTTTTTAATAAGGTTAATCAAAGTTCCATATAGCTATTTGTTTGTTCTTTAAGTGTTGGCTCTGCATTAATTCTTCAGAGGCAAGGATGAAGACTGTTCTTTTAGATTTCTACTTACCATTCAAACTGGTGTTGCGGAGAATATAGTATAGATTCTGCATCATATCTGTTGAAGAATAACTGGGGTTTGGTTTTGTTTTGCCTCGATTTCTAGAAAACTTAGATGCAATGATAGCTGAGCAGACAAAGAAGAAGCTTGAGAACCCTTCCACTAAAACCAGAGCACAGCTACCAGCAGGTACCTATTCTACAATTTTCTCCAATATTTCTGGAATAACCAGAAATCTCCAGTTCCAATATTTCTGGAATAACACATTTTTTAACCTATTCAGTTAAAAGCATGCTAATTGCTTTAGAAGCCAGACTGCTAGTTAAAGATGCAGTCCCTCGAGGACCAGTAGCCACAGCTTGGATGTCTAAGCACACAAGAGAGGAATTTTTACTTAATTGTCCAATCTCTGAGAAGTATATTCACTGTCATTTTCTTCAGTAGAGTCCAGACATTACACATATACCAAAGCAAGCTGTATCAGTGCTTTTTAAGACTTAAATAATAAAAAAAAATCATTCTTTGTCAACTTTGGATCTAGTGAATGCAAATTTCCTATCATTTTTCTCTGCACAAAGGAATGTGCCTTTATGAACTACATATTATTGCATTTTAGTCACC